GGATGGTCTCGATCTCCTGACCTCATGATCCGCCCGTCTCGGCCTCCCAAAGTGCTGGGATTACAGGCTTGAGCCACTGCGCCCAGCCAAAGGGTTTTTTTTAATTAAAAAATTGTTTTTTGAGGGGTAACAAGATGGCGACCGAGACAGTGGAGTTCCATAAGCTGAAGCTTGCTGAGCTAAAGCAAGAATGTCTTGCTTGTGGTTTGGAGACCAAGGGAATAAAGCAAGATCTTATCCACAGACTCCAGGCATATCTTGAAGAACACGCTGAAGAGGAGGCAGATGCAGAAGATGTTCTGGGAGATGAAACAGAGGAAGAAGAAACAAAGCCCATTGAGCTCCCTGTCAAAGAGAAAGAACCCCCTGAAAAAACTGTTGATGTGGCAGTAGAGAAGAAAGTGGTGAAAATTACATCTGAAATACCACAGACTGAGAGAATGCAGAAGAGGGCTGAACAAATTCTTACTCGGCAGTAAGAAAGCTGCTCGGGCAGCTAGGTTTGGGATTTCTTCAGTTCCAACAAAAGGTCTGTCATCTGATAACAAACCTATGGTTAACTTGGATAAGCTGAAGGAAACAGCTCAAAGATTTGGTTTGAATGTCTCTTCAATCTCCAGAAAGTCTGAAGATGATGAGAAACTGAAAAAGAGGAAGGAGCGATTTGGGATTGTCACAAGTTCAGCTGGAACTGGAACCACAGAGGTTACAGAGGCAAAGAAGAGGAAAAGAGCAGAGTGCTTTGGGATTGCCTAATGAAAAGCTCTTGATACTTTGTGTTCTCCAGTGTTTTCCATTTCTCTCATTCTTCTTGGTCACACATATGCCTAAATGCACAGTCATGTGCCTACGTCCTGCCTCACAATGAGGGAGCATGTACCCCAGGTTCAAGTGCTGGATTGTGTCATGTGACCATCCCAAAACTCAGAGCACCCTATGGCCATCTTTGCCCTCTGTCACATAACTTGAAAACTGCCTGATGGCCCTTTTGCAGTGGTTCCCTCCAGCAAGCCTTGATCTCAGTTGAAGAAGCTCTTTCCCGGCATTCCAGTGCCCCTGTCAGCTCCATACTCCTCAGACACCCTTAACAAAGGCTGTCATGCACACAATGTAACGAATACACAAAACAAATGATAATTACACTAAAAAAATTGTTTTTTTTAAACAGTGTCTCACTGTCATCCAGGCTGGAGTGCAGTGGCATGATCTTGGTTCACTGCAGCCTTGACCTCCTGGGTTCAAGCCATCCTCCTATCTTAGCCTCCTGAGAAGCTAGAACCACAGGTGTGTGCCACCATGCCCGGCTAATTTTTTTTTTTTTTTT